TAGTAGTTGATTATTTTAAAAGGATTATCAGTTTCTACAGAAACCCGACAAAGTATCAGTTTTTTTAGTTGAAAAATTCTAAAGTTTAAGCTCTAATTCTTTCCGAAATCGTTCAGGATTTTGAAATTCGCCAAATCACAAGTATTTGTTTATAGAAAACCGTAGCTTAATCCTATGGTAATTCGAGAACGCGATCAAAAACGTCGTCTTGGTCAAAGCCTCCGAATTCTCGACGCCCTGATTGCAAAATCAAAACTAGGTCAAACTCCATCTGTCCAAAGGAAATTAACGGAATCAAAAGATACAAGGGAAAAGAATGAATTTTCAGCAGATGTAGCGACGGTCGATGTTGTCACCCGAGGGCTATATATACTCCGGGTGGGGTTGGGCGTGGTTTAGCGTTCTGGCCAATCATCTGCCGGCCCGCCCCTCCCGCAGACGAGTATATAAGGGTCGGATCGATGCGGGAAACCTCCTACCCTCAACCACCCATCGTTTGGCTTCCTTTTCTTAGTTTCCCTCGTTTCTGCCCCAGTTTTGTCCCCCTAGCTTCGTTTCGACGGGTTTTCACATTTTCGAGTTGATCCGGACCGGTTTTGGCTACGGTATAGCTAAATTTGCGGCATGCTTCTAATGACAGTACGCTGAAATCAGTTAATTAACGTACTGGGATAGTCGAAAAGTCTTATCCTCATCCTCTGAGTGCTATATTTTGAAAATTGAAGGGTTCAAAGGCGCTAAAAACCGCTGTCAGGATTCAAAATTGCATCCGTCATTTGGTGTCTTGTGTAGCTATTATGGTAACTGCCAAAAAAGAAGAACTTTTAAGCTTTTAAGGCAAGTTACGTTAATAAATCCGTGCATTTCCGTCCATTTTCGAACTTTCTGGTCGCAGTATCCAAAAGTTCCGTTCCACACCTGTCAACACCCTGTAATTTTTGACTCCGCTACGTCATTGACCTCTATACGAATCGTGTCTCAGCTTTCGTGCCCTCGTTTTTCACCTTTTCACCAGTTAACAAATCGATTTTTATCCAGTATATTTTTGCAGAACCCAAATCATGCCGCCCAAGCCGTCCGCCAAGGGAGCCAAGAAGGCCGGAAAGTCGCAGAAGGTCACCCGCAACCCCGACAAGAAGAGGAGAAAGTCGCGTAAGGAGTCGTACTCCGTCTACATTTACCGTGTCCTCAAGCAGGTTGGTAACAGGAGACAGTAATACCGATAAAAGCAGCGGAATCGAAGCCGAATTGCATTTAGAAAGTGGCTTTAAAGGATTTTTCTAGTTTCGAAACTAGTTACGACGTTAAAACCGCCTCTTCCAGGTCCACCCCGATACCGGTGTTTCCTCAAAGGCCATGTCGATCATGAACTCGTTCGTCAACGACGTCTTCGAGCGTATCGCTTCGGAGGCTTCTCGCCTGGCCCACTACAACAAACGCTCCACGATCTCGTCCCGCGAAATTCAGGTGAGAAAGGGTACCTTAAATGCCAGATACCTTACTACAAATTATGAAAACCTGTAGCTATGATTTACAAAACTATACTTATCATTCTAAGCTCCAATTAGGGTATCTTTAATGGTTGATAGATGAATGCTATTTACTCCAAACTATAATTTTGGATGCGAATTTTTGATAAGTTTGATTTGAAACTTTTGCCTTTAATGACAAATGTCCAAACCGGTACTGTAAATGGCTAATGGCTTTGCCAAAAGAAGCTCCAAACCAAAAAATTTTTACAACCAAAATCACTGCTAAAAAGTACGTAATACAGGCTAAATCTAAAGATACCAAGGGGTCATAATACCCCTTGGTATCATCTACCAGATTATACAAGTTTTTGAGCGATTAAAGCGGGACGTAAAGATTTACTAGATCTAATTTTATAGACGTTGAACTACAGTTTCGAATTACGAAATAATATCGATTCCTTTCAGACGGCCGTCCGCTTGATCCTTCCGGGAGAACTGGCGAAGCACGCCGTATCCGAGGGCACCAAGGCCGTCACCAAGTACACCTCCTCCAAATAAATTACCCAATTAATTTATTTGTTTTTTTTTTGTATCCAATACTTTCCATTTAACGATGATACTCATGCATAAATACGGTATCCCCCAAACGCTGTGTAATCTGAATACGATGAATAAAAGGGCGCGAACAAGAGTTTCGAAACTCCATTGCAAATGCACACATTCCCACAGATACAGATCTGGTCTCAAAAGAAACTTTTTGAGAATTAAAAAAGATGGCTTATTTGCTATTTTCGAAACATACCCATCATTAAGGCTTATAAAAACACGCCTTGAAGTTAAAATTGGTAATAGATACTCAAGGCACGATACGAAAATTTGGATAACGTTGGCGTACGGTAAGGTATCCTTCATTTCTTAAGAAAACTGAACACCTTGGCACATTGCTAATCATTCTCTACAATACAGTTTATGTTCGCAGCTAAAGTGGATAAATTTGGTGTAAGTAGCCCTCAATAGCGCATTTTTCAAATTCTCCCGACCCCTGGCAGCCTGCCCATTTGATTTCTCCGTATCGATTTCAGGCATTTAAAAAAAACTGAACTTTGCCGTTGCCGTACTCGTTGGCGCACTTCGAAATTCGGTATACTGTAGAATATTGTGATTTATTAATTTTATAAAAAGGCGATTTATTTTTGAAGAAAATTTCACGAGAGTTCGACAGAAAAAGACCATTTGACGATTTTCCAACATGTATTGAAATAAAAGCGTGTAATCAGTTTCAAAACACAAGAATTTGCCGCTAAAATGTGGATAAAATTGGCATATGCTGACACCTAATAGCGCGGTTTTTCAACACTCGTGCCCCTTGGATTTTGCAAATGTCGACAGTTTTCAAATTATGGCGACCCTTGGCAAGCTGCCAATCGATTTTCTCTGTGTTACTTTTAGAATCTGACCTCTGTGACCGTTTTCGCGCGCTTTTTGGCGCTATTCCAAGTCCAGGTATACTATATAATCGCGTGTATTTGTAAAAATATACCGGGGGTTCAATATTTATTCCACTACAAAATCATTTCCGGGTAGGCACTCGTACGTAATGACAGTTATATTAATATAGAAAAAGTTTGAACCGATGATGCAGTAGGGAGATCGTGAGGGTAGAAAAGTACAAAAAATACAAAATTACATTGCAAATACAGGAATTAGCCGCCGAATCCGTAGAGGGTCTTGCCCTGGCGCTTCAGGGCGTAGACGACGTCCATGGCGGTGACCGTCTTGCGCTTGGCGTGCTCGCAGTAGGTAACGGCGTCACGGATCACGTTCTCGAGGAACACCTGAAAATATGGGGTATGGGGAAACTGCGACTTTTACTACATTTTAATGCAGCTTTTGAACTACTAAATGTAATGTTATAAAGTATGTATCAAAGTATCGACGGTGTAGAGTTTTAATTTAAAAGTATTTTTTGATTTTAAGTACTAAACTAGTACGAAAAAGTATAAAAGAAAGAAAAAATTACGCTCTTAGCGATATTAGATAAATTTTATTATACTTTAAAGTAATTTTCTAAACTACAAACCTTCAGAACACCACGCGTCTCCTCGTAGATCAGTCCAGAAATGCGCTTGACACCTCCACGACGCGCCAAACGACGGATGGCCGGCTTGGTGATGCCCTGGATGTTGTCGCGGAGCACTTTGCGATGGCGCTTGGCTCCTGGAAAAGACAAATTTAGTATCGAAACGTACTTGAAGAAAAGAAAAATCAATTTCGAAACGGTGCTCACCTCCTTTGCCGAGTCCCTTTCCTCCCTTGCCACGTCCAGACATGTTGAAAGTGTTGGTTAGAGAAGGGTAGACCTCAAAAAATTTTCAGGAATGGTGCCCGGGATTGATCGGCCTGGGCTTTTATACTACCCGTTGTCGTTTGTGCGCACCGCGATGCAGCGGGGGAGAGAACACGGGAGGGCGAGAGAGTGCAGAGAGAGAGGAGGGTCCCGCCGCGATGCCGGGAGAGATAAGGGATGGAGAGAGAGCACAGAGAGTAGGTGTCGTCAGGAGTGATAAGGACTTTTTGAGGGGTTCCAGAGACGCTTTGACCCCGCCGCGATGCTGGAAAAATTGTAGGGAGAAGTCGGAGTGTCCAGGGAACTAGTGGAATAGTCCCGCCGCGATTCCCACGGCTTTTCCTCTCTGCTCCCTCCGCTTCTGCCCGCTATTTCCGGATGTATTCCGGGCGACACCACCCCCCGGGACCGGTAGTGCGAACGCTAGTGGCTAGTGGAAGTGTGGATGGCCCATATCGATCGGAAAGAGGGGGGACTTTCGAAAAATAAAATCTTGATGGACATAAGCTGGATATTACGAAATTGAGCGGTTCGGATTTGGCGGGAATTTAAACGGCAAATTAAAAAAATTAGCGATACAATAAAAATAACATTTTAACGTTGAAATACTTCAAAGCATTTAAAAATTAGCTATACATATTAATTTAGTTAACTTCCTAGCGAGTTTGATTTGGTGGAATTTAAACGCCGAGAACTAAAAAGAATCAGCGGTGCAATTAAAGTTATATAATCCCCGAAATACTTAAAAATATACTTGAAAATTGGTTAAAAACCAAAATATCCGGTTTTAGCAATATGTTTAGGCTTAAATAACAAAATTAAAACGGTAAAAATAAGTTGTTATTAGTTAATGAGGGATTTTACAAATTTTTAAGACTAAAATTTAATCTTTACAATCTAGGGACTTTAGAAAATAAGCTGAAAATACCGAATTTTAAGTTATATAAACCAGGTATTGCAATTTTCGAGGCCTGACAATGTTTAAAATCATAAAATAAAATCTCCTTGTGTTTATTTGTCATGGGGGCGGAAATCTTGCGAGCGACCTAATGATATTAATCCAGGGACTTTACAAACAATTTGAACTAATTTATAGGTCCGGGATACACGTAAACAATGGATCACAATTAGGACAAGGGGATTCGGATCGTTATTCATCATCATTATCGTGCTGTTGTTCATCTCCCTGCCGCCGTTGTTGTCGTCTGGAAAAGCGGGGGATTTTAAAGGAAGAAAGATGCTATAAAAATCTCAAATCGCCAGTCCGAAAATCCTAAAAAGCTTTGAAAACGTACATTCAAGCACATTGGGTATAGTTGGACAGAACTATCGGGATCCTCGACGACAGGATCCGGTACCGCCGGGTAGACGTAGCATCGTCCTCGGGCTGCTGGCTCGTACGTGAACGCCTTGAAGATGACTTTTAATTACCGTAAATTGCGTGGGTTTCTATAGGTGCATAATGATAACTTTTAAATGGCGTAATTCAATTTAGATTAATACGTAATAGCGCTGAACCCGAAAACGACTTGAGCGACTTCCGGTCCATTTCGAAATTCAAAAACGATGCGACAACTTACGGCACACTTGAACAGCCCGTAGTTGTTGAGGCAGGCCTGGTAGCACGACTCGATGAACACGTAGTCGCCGACGAATTTGCCCATTGGGGCGGAGCCGCTGTCCCAGGAGGGTGAAGCGAGGTAGTACCCCTTCGAGCATACTGAAAACCAAAAATCTCAGTAGGTATCCTAATCCTCACCTCCAGGTACCGGCGTTGTGGTCGTGCCGGGCGCTCCCGTGGTAGTAGTCGTCGTGGTGGGTTGTTGAGCGGCCGTTGTCGTGGTGGTGGCTTGGGCAGCGGTTGTCGTTGTGGTTGTCGTCGTCGTTGTTGTTGCGGCTGTGGTGGTGGTCGTACTGGTGGACCTGGTCGTAGTGGTCGTTGTAGTGACAGGCGCCATAGTGTTCGTAGTCGTCGTACTGCTCGAGCTCGTCGTCGTGGTGGTCGTCGCCGGCGCCGGTGTCGTAGTTGTAGTTGTCGTGCCCGGTGACGCTGTTGTTGTCGTCGTCGTGGTCCAGGATCTGGAAAGGATATTTCACGTTTGAATTTCTATTTAGGAGTACTTACATCGTGGTGTCTGGCGACCGGCAGAAGGCGTAGACCGTCGTGTTGCTCAGGCCAGGACCCACGTCGACTGTCGCGTCAACCTGATTTTTAGATGGTTGGCTTTCGGTACAGGACTGTTAGCGGGGGGGACTTTCAGCAGTGGGGAAAACCACTTTTTCTCAATAATTCCCGACGGCCCTATCCTATCCTATAAGCGTAAAAAGTATGTTTGTTTTCTATACAGCCAATTTTTCGACTTTTGGTCAAGAATGTATGAAAAATGTCCAAAAAAGGTCAGGATTATAGAATTTTAAAATTTTTTAAACGTTTTTTATAACTTCTTGACAATTAAAATTTGCTAAAAACCCTATAAAAACATTACACCATCATCAACAGGTCGAATAGCGCGAAAAACAAAAAGTGGGTTTCCCCCTGCTAAAAGCCCCATCCCCCCCCCGCTAACGGTCGAGTACGTATTTTTCAAGAAGGTCAGGGACAATTTTGAAATATTTCTGTACCTGCCATTTTTGTTGGAACACCGTACAATTCCCGCGACCGCCATTTGGTTTTGGTGTGAAGGCGAATCTGTAATTAAAACGTTTCAAATCGTTTAAAAAATTCGTTCTCAAAAATGTTGTCGTCAAGCATATAATAAGCCTACCCCGCACATCCAATATTGCCATAGTCGTATGTGCAAAGCTGGGAGCAATCTTCCGCGTAGTTGAAGAAGCCACCAAAGCGGCCTTGCGACTGAGAGATATCGGCATTGACGCGGACGATGGCGTAGCCTGGCACGTCGGAAGGAGGCCCAGAGCATCCTGGCAATTCTGAAATTGATATAAGACATTCAGTAAAGGTCGCTTATCGGGGGAGGAAGCAAATAACGGGGGTGGATACAATTTTTGTATTTATAAAAACTATCCTGCTATTTTGAAAACGCCATCGGATAGAGCGTCGAGTCGAAGTAGAAAAAGAGATTTAATTTCAGTCCAAAAAACGACTGGTCTAACGTAACAATTTTTAATTGAAATTTTGGCTTAATAAAGTAAAAATATAAATAAATTGTGGTATTTCGGGCTCAAATTAAATATCTTAGTATATTTTTTGATGCTCTATCCGATGGCATGTGAATTGGCAACGCAGGTGCCTATAGGGAAAAATCGTTTCCACACCGTTATTTCTCCCGCCCCCCCCCCCCGTTAAACGTCCTTTACCAATTATTCTAGGTATCCTATTAGAAAAATTTTATCCTGGAAAGATTGGTTTTTCTGACTTACGCGTTCCAGACCCTCCCGAGGTCGTGGTGGTCGTTGGCCGCGAAGTGGTGGTGGTGGTGCTTGCCGGGTGGTTGCTCGCTGTCGTTGTTGTGGTACCGGCCCTAGAATGCCGAGATCGATCATGAAGTCCTAATTTCGAGGAGATTCGTGGCTTTGTCGCGCTTCAAAAATCAGCGTTTTTGTTTCCGCCCGTGATCACAAAGTGCGGTATTTCCTCGGATTTAAGCCCAGGCTTCTTTTCCTATCACTCTGAATCAGGTTCTTTCGCATTATCGGGGGTGGGGCGTTTATCGGGGGAGGGAAACAAAAAAAATGGCCAGAAAGGGCTATTTATGAACAAAGTTTCGACTTTTTAAAAGTATTATGCGCGATAATGCTGAAGAACTCTGGTTCACCTGGGGGATTTTATCCTTGAAGATACGGTAATCCAAAACCCAAAATTAGTGTACCCAGGTGTTGTTGTGGTTGTAGTGATCGGAATGAATGTAGTGGACGTGGCTGTTGTGGCCGTGACTGTGGTCGTCGTGGTGTTCAGCGTGCCAGTTCTACAATTTCGCGATTCTCAGGCTAGGGAGTGCTTTTAGTTATTCTACGGGTTTACGGTGCTATCGAAGTCGTTTCTCGTGGGTCGTGAATCAAATAACAGCAACAGCAACTTACCCCTGTGTCGTCGTTGTCGTTGGCTGATTCCAGATGGTTGTAGTCGTCGTTGGCTGATTCCAGATCGTCGTCGTGGTTGTCGGCTGGTTCCAGATAGACGTCGTCGTGGGGGTCATGCTGCAACGGAATATTCGTCATGCAATTGTGAAAAATCAATATTAAAATTTATACAATTAAGATAGTGTTTGATCGGTTATTCGGATTTCGCTTCTTTTGTCATAACTGTTACATTATTTTGGCTTGTCATTAGCACCCTGAGTACATGTTTCGACGCTCTATCGAGTGGCGTTAAAGAAATTTTGTCAAAATGTCGAAAACTAGCTTTGCACCTCCTGTTTCTATAGAGAAATCGCGTTTAAATCATGTTTTTGCTGTAACTATTTTATATTGGGTTATTTTGGGCTGAAATTAAAATTTTTACTATATTTTTTTGCGGCTCTATCGAATGGTGTATCGAAAATGTCCAAAAAATAGCGAAAATATCGAAAACTAGCTTTTTAACCCAATTTTCAGGGATTATTTTTGGTTTTTGCTACATCTATTTTATATTACAATATTTTCAGCTGCCATAAAAACCGTTAGTATATTTTTTTGATGTCCTATCGCATGGCCAAAAAATCCCGAAAAACCGCGTACATTTTAAAAACTTTGGGGCCCTCGGGCTAGGGGGGGTAAAGCAAACCCGTAGCCGCGGCCCCCTGCCCTGGGCGATTTTACTACTCTATCTCTGCTCTGCATTCCATAAATTAAATAAAAGGCGTACATGATCGTGCTGAGCGTCGTCGATCCGCCACACATGCGATAGATAGTAGCATTGCTGTTGTCGGGACCCACACTGGTGGCATTCGTAATCTAAATGAGGTTTACGCATGTACAACCCTGCGTAAGAGCGGAAAGCAAATTCGAAGTCTTTAAATTAGCCACCTGATAGTCGTACTGATAGATGGTGCAGTGTCCCCTGGCCATCCCCGGTTCAAACGCGAACCCGATACAGGGCAATAGCCCATAGTTGTACGTGCACAACTGCGAGCAGTCCTCCGCCGTAAGGAAGTAACCGCCGAATTTCCCAGGTGACGCGTTGAGGTCGGCATAGTAGGCGACAGGCTCGTACATGGCACCGCTTGAGCAGTTTCCGCCTCAAAATCGAAGGTGTCAGAGCCATTGACCGGAAAGCGCTTACCAAACGGAGGGGTGGTTGTCGTGCCTGATCCGGAAGTTGTCGTGGTAGTGATGCCGGAGCCGGGCGTGGTCGTGGTAGTGCCCGACCCAGGTGTTGTAGTGGTCGTGGTACCAGAGCCAGGCGTAGTCGTGGTAGTGCCCGACCCAGGTGTTGTAGTGGTCGTGGTACCAGAGCCAGGCGTTGTCGTCGTGGTTGTTCCAGAGCCCGGGGTCGTGGTAGTCGTCGTCCAACTTCCAGTCCCAGTTTCCCCGGTGGAGAAGTCTGTGGCTGCCGTATCCATTGTCGCACCGGTCTCGTCTAGAAATTGACTGAGAATCTAGAATTTTCCAGTCACCTGTGGCAACAGTTCCCATCGTGTTGGTCGATCCGCCTGCTCCGGTTTCGGTGGCAGCCGTGGGTTGTGTAGCTCCGGTCTCGGCTCCTCCTAAAATCCAAGGTCGGGCTCGTTCTGGAATATACTACCTGTAGCAGTTGCTCCAGTAGCCGTTTCACCAGTCTCGGTGCCCCCTAGGATTGATTAATTAACATTAGCGTAAGTTTTACCAGTCTCGGTGCCGCCGGTAGCTTCGGTGGGTTCTGTTGCTCCCGTTGCTCCAGTCTCTTCAGTTCCACCTAAGATCTTTTAGATATCATAATAAATTCCCAACCAGTAGCCGTTGCTGTCGCTCCAGTCTCCGTTCCTCCGGTGTTGCTTCCGCCAGTAGCAGTCGCAGTTGCACTCGCTCCGGTAGCCGTTTCGGTGCCACCAGTTGCACCTAACAGGAAGAGTTTCTTGGTGACAACAAAACCTGGACCAATTTTGGTGTTATGGACTAGGCCTACCTTGTGCAGAATTCTGCACTTATTTAAATTGAAAATTCGAGATTCTGATGTGCGGGGTTCCGATTTTCATTTTGACGCATTCCCAAAAATTACACTTCCGTGAACCAACAAAATTTGATTGTTTTGCTCTTGCTACCTGTCGCATCTCCACCAGTAGCGGTGCCTTCAGTCTCGGTGCCGGCCGTACCCTCAGTACCAGCCGTGCCAGTGGGTGTTGCTCCGGTAGCTGTGCCTCCGGTCTCGGTGCCGCCTACGAAATAGGGCTTTTTTGCGTCTAAGTGTGCTTAATACCAGTAGCTCCAGTTTCGGTTCCCCCAGTCTCGCCGCCAGCTGTCCCAGTAGCCGTCGCACCAGTCTCGGTTCCGGCTAGAAAATGAAGTAGGCGTTAGCCGTCTCGGACTGTAGATACCAGTAGCTCCCGTCTCCGTGGCCGCTGTGCCAGTGCCGCCAGTTTCCGGACCAGCCGTGCCAGTGGGTGTTGCTCCAGTTGCCGTGCCACCGGTTTCGGTTCCGCCTACAAACATTAAAATTTAATTTCCGCCAGGTGTGGACGCACCGGTAGCTGTGCCGCCGGTCTCTGTTCCTCCGGTCTCAGTGCCAGCAGTGCCAGTGGGTGTCGCTCCAGTGGCTGTTCCTCCAGTTTCGGTGCCATCTGAAAAAATGTGATGTGATGCATCCGGATCGGGTGACAAAAAATTCAAATACAGCACTGCAGCGGCCCTGCTTTCGACAATACCTGTAACAGTTCCACCAGTAGCCGTACCCCCAGTCTCCGTGCCAGCTGTGCCAGTGACCGTGGCTCCGGTTTCAGTTCCGGCTACAAAGTGCAAATTCAGTGTCTACGAAAATTTTGAATACCGGTAGCGCCAGTTGCGGCGCCTGTGGTGACGGTGCCGCCCGTATCTGTGCCTCCAGTCTCAGTGCCTGCGGTGTTAGATCCACCAGTTACAGTGCCAGCTATAAAAACGTTGTGCTTGTAGCCGTATAGCAAAGAACATACGTGTAGCAGTTCCGCCGGTCTCTGTGCCGCCGGTTGCAGTTCCGCCTGTGGAAGTACCAGCTGAAAAGATCAAAATAAAAAAAACTGACTGTGAAAAAAGCCAAACCTGTGACGGTGGCTCCAGTTTCGGTGCCACCAGTTGCGGTGCCAGCTGAAAAAAAGGAAACTTGAGTGGGATAGGAATCACTGACCTGTGACCGTTCCTCCAGTTTCCGTTCCGCCGGTCTCGGTACCGCCAGTAGCCGTGGCAGCTATGTCAAGGTTAAGCAGTCATCAAAAGGGCAAACCTGTAGCTGTTCCGCCAGTCTCGGTGCCACCTGTTTCTGTCCCACCCGTGGCGGTGCCAGCTAAAATGTGATTTTAGATTCCGGCTTCAGAACCAGGGATTGTTTCGCAGTAAGCTAAATGCTAAATTCTGGACCTGTGACAGTGCCTCCAGTCTCGGTGCCTGCGGTGTTGGTACCTCCAGTGGCTGTGCCGGCTAGAAAAACGAAGGTGAATTCGCTGTGCAAGTCCAACCTGTGACAGTGCCTCCGGTCTCGGTGCCAGCGGTGTTGATGCCTCCTGTTGCAGTGCCGCCCGTCTCGGTGCCTCCTGTCTCCGTTCCTCCCGTGGCTGTGCCCGCTGTAGGAAATCATAAAATCAGACTAGCGGGTGCAAACCAGTGGCTGTCGCAGCCGTCTCTGTTCCGCCAGTCGCCGTGCCTCCTGTTTCTGTGCCTCCAGTGACCGTGCCTGCTAAAAAAACCCAGCCCTTGAGAAAAATTGAGAAAGGTGCAAACCCGTGACGGTGCCTCCTGTCTCTGTGCCGGCTAAACAGACAATTAACAATATTTTTGAAATCGCCCAAACCTGTAGCTGTTCCGGCTGTCGCTGTGCCGCCAGTCTCGGTTGCGCCGGTAGCTGTTCCGGCTGGAAGTGCTAACTAGGCATCGAAACAGCTCGTACCTGTGACAGTGCCTCCGGTCTCCGTGCCTCCAGTCTCGGTACCACCAGTTGCCGTGCCTCCCGTCGCTGAGGCAGCTGTAGAACGTACACGTCATCTCAGATCCGAAAAATTCAAACCTGTAGCCGTGGCTCCGGTTTCGGTCCCTCCCGTCGCGGTACCACCAGTTTCTGTCCCGCCAGTAGCGGTGCCAGCTGAAAGGGAAAATAAACTGCTACAGAATTGTCGTTCCTACCTGTAGCAGTCGCCGTTTCCATTGCACCAGTTTCGGTTCCACCCGTTGCAGTGCCAGCTAGAGCAATTTATAATTTCATGGCAATTCCTAACCTGTAGCAGTGCCGCCCGTCTCCGTCCCTCCGGTTTCAGTTCCGCCCGTTGGCGTTCCAGCTGAAAAATGAATTTAAAATGCAAGAGATTTTAAACCCGTGGCAGTTCCTCCAGTTTCTGTGCCTCCAGTCTCAGTTCCAGCCGTCGCAGTGCCAGCTGCAAGAAAGTATACCAAACTCGAGATCTCTGACCTGTAACGGAGCCTCCAGTTTCGGTTCCGCCGGTCTCAGTGCCAGCAGTCGCAGTGCCAGCTTAAACGAATTATTCAGTTTTTAGCCAGGCACAAACCGGTGTCCGTGCCTGCAGTTTCTGTGCCTCCTGTCTCCGTTCCTCCAGTCTCGGTACCTCCAGTGACCGTGCCCGCTGGAAAGTAACGGAAGCTCACGCTTTTCAATGAGGTTTTACCAGTAACGGTGCCTCCTGTTTCAGTTCCACCAGTTGCTGTACCTCCGGTCTCAGTGCCGCCAGTTTCAGTTCCTCCTGTGGCAGTCCCAGCTGCAAAAAAAGTATAGGCGAAACCTGGCATTTACAAACCTGTAACTGTAGCTCCCGTTTCGGTGCCCCCAGTGGCTGTACCGCCAGTCTCCGTTCCTCCAGTGGCAGTTCCGGCTGTAACTGTGCCTCCGGTCTCGGTGCCAGCAGTATCCGTGCCTCCTGTCGCCGTGCCAGCTGGAATTTTAGCCCTTTTAGTTCTCTGTCGAGTATCTAGCAAGCGTATATTAAGATTAGATGCACATGAAGTAATTTTCCTATGGTGCGTACCAGTGACAGTTCCGCCAGTTTCCGTGGCCCCAGTCTCTGTGCCTGCAGTTTCGGTGCCACCTGTCGCCGTTTCAGCTTAACGAAGGGTGTAAGGGTTTTTTGCGGTGCAAACCCGTTGCAGTGCCTCCAGTTGCTGTACCCCCGGTCTCGGTGCCACCTGTCGCTGCTGCAGTTGCCGTTTCCACTAAAAGCTCGCCGTATCCGCCTAATCCTCAATACCAACTAGTAGCAGTTCCACCCGTTTCTGTGCCTCCTGTGTCCGTGCCTCCGGTTTCAGTGCCTCCGGTTTCAGGTGAGCCAGTGGCCGTGTCGGCTGGAAAATATGAAGGTATCGCGCTGATCAATCACGCTTGCGCCTTCTTACGGTGCTTGGAATGACGTACCTGTGGCGGTACCTCCCGTCTCGGTTCCTCCAGTTTCGGTACCTCCCGTTTCTCCGCCAGCAGTGCCAGTGGCCGTTGCTCCGGTTTCCGTTCCGGCTTAAAACTCAATTTCTAATGCCCGTAAGTCAAAACCAGTGCCAGTCGCTTCCGTAGCTGTTCCGCCAGTTTCCGTGCCTCCGGTTTCAGGTGCGCCAGTGGCGGTGCCGGCTAAAAAAAGAGCTATTAAAGAGCAAGTTCTGGTCTGTGATTTGGTGAACTAGCCCAGACGTGCGCAACTGATCCAGAGAGTGTAGTATGGCAAAAAAACCTGTGGCCGTTCCTCCCGTCTCGGTTCCGCCAGTTTCCGTTCCTCCAGTCGCTGCTCCAGCTTGAAAGCTTGTATAAAACCAAAGCACTAAAAGTGCGAACCTGTGGCAGTGCCTCCGGTTTCGGTGCCTCCAGTTTCAGTGCCCGCTAAAAAATCCAAGTGTTTTGGGTGAGGTGTAATCTTATGATTTTTCTGGTTGAAAACAAACCAGTCACAGTTCCTCCAGTCTCGGTGGGCCCGGGCGTCGTTTCGGCGGTATTTGCGGGTTCTAAAATTATTTTCACGATTTCGTTAATTCCAAGTAAACTGAAAAAATCAATTGCAAGCTTATAAAGATCTTCAACTCGAGAAAACATAAACTTTTGCCATACCTGTAGCTGTTCCTCCGGTCTCTGTTCCCCCCGTTTCCGTGCCTCCAGTCTCGGTTCCGCCGGTTGCTCCTGTAGCTGCCGCTAAAACGCTAATCGTTTTATTGATTAATTATTATTGGTTTTATTTTTCTAGCTAGCTACCTAGATTTTGATGTGCTTTTTTTGTTTAGGGCCTTGGAAGGCTTTTTGGTTTTCAAAATCGGACCACGTTGTTATGGAATTGATCGCGGCGGGGTTCCGCTCCGAGCCAGTTGGAGCTGATGTTTGGGGCTTTTCGTGATTGGATTCACGAAATTTGACGAGAAAATAAACCTAGGTTTTTGGCACTGCTTTAACGGAAGTCCGAGGGCTTGAATTATAACGGAGAAACACAGAAATCTCGAATGGCTAATTGAGTCAGTGGAAAAACCGTTTTTCAGAGCAAGAAACGAGAAAGATTCTTACATACCTAGAGAAATAATCATGAAATGCTACCAATGGGAAAAAGTTGGTAAGTGAAAATTGGTAAAAAACTAACCTGTAGCAGTCTCAGTACCTCCAGTCTCGGCTACGGTAGTTTCACCGGTCGCACCACCGGTAGTAGCACCTAAAAACGAAACTTTCAAAAAGAAGATCGGTCCTTACCTGTGCCAGCATCGGTCTCACCAGTTGTTGCGCCAGTATCTCCTAAAATGGATGCTTTAAAGAGCGTCAAAACACGGCGAAGGAGGTAAGCTTGCAGGGATTCTGTAGAAAAGTCACATACCAGTCTCCGCTCCAGTTGTTGCATCAGTGGCGCCAGTATCAGCACCGGTCGTGGCTCCTGAAAATCGAAATTTGACGGACGCAACAAGCCGGGCTACTTGTTAGAAAAATTTGAAAAACGAGAAAAACCCAAAGTTAGGGCGAGCTAGCCGAGATTTCTAGGGACTAGGTCGCAGCCAGCTCTTACCAGTTTCCGCTCCGGTTGTTGCTTCCGTGGCACCGGTATCCGCACCAGTCGTGGCTCCTGAAGAAAGCGTTAGAACGCCCGGGAAGGGATGACCTACCGGTTTCGGCACCAGTTGTTGCTTCAGTAGCTTCAGTATCCGCGCCGGTGGTGGCTCCTGAAAAGCAAATTAGATCTTGCTGGAAAAGGCAAGCTGACAGAGATCTTTGAGGAACGTTACGACAAATGCGAATTGAATTTTAAAGGCATGCATCAAACTTGTAGGCTAACTAGTCGAGACTATTTAGAAAAAGTAATGCATCTACCAGTATCCGCTCCAGTTGTTGCCTCCGTTGCGCCGGTGTCGCCGGCGGTCGTGGCGCCTAAAAGATAGTTAAACATATCGTTAATGGTCTAGTTGGCCAGGGCAAATTCAGAGTTTATCACGCTCTCCTTGTAAGTCTAGAAATATACCGTACTTACCGTCGGTAGTTCCTCCAGCTGTCGTTCCATCAGCAGTCGTTCCATCGGCTGTTGTGCCTCCTGCGGTCGTTCCATCGGCTGTTGTGCCTCCTGCGGTCGTTCCACCTGCCGTTGTCTCTCCTCCAGTCGTTCCTTTTGCCGTTGTCGCATCTGAGACAACGGTCTTTTTTACCTATTGCTTATTAAGTACCTGTATCCGCAGGCGTCGTTGGTGGCTCGGTAGTGCCTCCATCAGTCGTTACAGCGGCTTAAACAAAATCATTCGATTAATTCAGGCGCATAGAGAGGGAGAAAGAGCGCGAGAGTGAGAGAGAGATAGGGAGAGAAGGAGCGAGGGAGCGAGAGAGAGAGAGAGAGAGAGAGAGAGAGAGAGAGAGAGAGAGAAAGACTTGCTTACCTGTCGTTGGTTGTTCCGTTGTGTCGGCATCTGTCGTTAGTCCCACTGAAAAAAATTAATTTTAAAAACCTTTCCCTAATCCCTTATCGTAATCTATTAGTAAGGTTACTAACTTGTTGTAGATAGTGCTGATGTCCAATCGAAAAGTAGGGTGGTGGCTAAAACGCGGTTTCAAGAAACCTTAGATGACAAACCTCCTGTCGCCTCCGTGGTGCCCCAGTTAAAAAGGATCGTGGTGGCTAGTGTCGATTCTAAAAAATAATGATATTTGGTTTCGATCGATAGCGAACTAACGACGGATTTCTTCCCAATTTTTAAAATGTTGATTTAGAATTCTCCTACAAGGGCTTTCCGGGTCCTGGCGTTGATCCCAAATGTTTTCAAACTTTTGATTTCTAAGTAATTTCTGGTTATTTGACACTGTTTTTGTTACGTCATGCTTCGCAGCTTCAAAAAACACGGGCTTGTCATGGCTAACGCTCAAAAAAATGCGCGCCGATGACCTCATAACGTGAGCCTGAACTTTCTGTCTCAACTCCCGACTCGCGGTGGTCAGACCGGGTGACGAACGGCTTCTCAGAAGCTTTCAAAAAACAGAACACAAGGTGCAGGTATTTAATTCAGCACCCTTTTGGATTTTCACTATTATTTTCAATTTTAATGAATTTTAATTAAATTTAATTGATTAAAATAGCCGTCAAGCTAGAAAACTTACGAAAAAATTTCGAAAGAAAAAAGAAATTAAAAAAATACTATTTATAGAAATAATGAGATTTCTCTAATTCCTCTGGCGCGATAAATTAGCCGTAAGGTGTCAATACAGTACCTCTGGCAATCGTCGTCTTTGTACAGTACTGCGCTTGGCCCAGGCCGACCAGGGCCATGATTAGCCCCAGCTGGTGGGTCCAAGCCATTTTGCCGAGTCTGCCCCGTACTCGCAAAAGGGGGTACCTACAAGATATAAGCATAACATCAAAGCATCAAAAAATTTCAGAGAATTTGCAAGATACAGGGTATCCCAATAGAAAACATCCCGTTCTAACTCGGCGCAGAAGTATCGGATCGGAATGATAGTTACACCATTGGAAAGCCCTACAACCGGCAAATTCGCAACAATCTTCAAAACCTGTTTTTATCGAAATTCGCCATATTACCGGCCATTTTGAAAAATTTTCCGATTTTTCGGGATTGCATACGAGCTAATTTGACTCAATTTCTCCAAGCAAAATGACGAGAAGTAGCCGTTAATTAAATGCAGAGGCCCTTTCACAAAACCTGAAATCGTCTAAAAACAATTCGCGCTTCCGGAATACCGTAGAAGTTTGATCTTTGACGCCTAAGGACCAAAATTTGCAAAAAATCGAAAAGGAGCAGAAAGAGGAAGTAGATCTGAGGCTAGGGGTTATGGGGAAGCGGGTCCAAGGGAAACCATCGACAGTCCCCCCGCCATCCGTTCATCCACCCACCCACCCAAACCGAACGACAGTAATCCGCTCGCAGCGCCCGAAAAAAGACCCCCATTCATTAGCCTCTTTGGACCGCCACCATCATGTATTTCAAGCCTTTGTCTCTCTCTCGCTCTCTCTCGCTCTCTCTCTCTCTCTCTCTCTCTCTCTCTCTCGCTCTCTCTCCCCCGCTCTCTCTCTAGCTGTTAGTTTTTCTATGTACGGCCTCTCTCTAAGCCAATCACCTACCCCCCCACCCCTGTGTACTGACGTATTGTAACGGAATTTCCAAACATGGGGGTACAGTGGGGGGTTAGGCTGGGTTTAGCTTTTCCAGCCTATTCATCCGGAAATCACCAGGGCCGACGAACACCAAACTGGACTAAAAAAATACAGATTGGACCGTTTAATGTGGTGCGCATCTCATGGCTACGTATTTTATTGGAAAAGCGAGTTGATATAGGTACCGCGACGACCGCGACACGCAACGCACACTCATGCTTTTCCATTGCGTACGTGAGGATGACCGGTCTATGGGCGACCAGAAGAGCTGAGCATTGCGTATCGCGCCGTCACCAGAGCCATAGAGGTCGAAAGTTATACCTTGCCAATCCCTTTAATAGGACGGACAGATCTTTCTTGGCGAACTCGAAAATTACTAAAGGAACTCAGCCAGCATGTCACTTCACTTGCGGTTGATAACCTAACTTTTGTGCGCCAGAAACTCATTTTTTCGTTTTTTTTTCCTGGTAGTCGTGTAAGTTGATTCCGGAAATCCGAATGCTTTAGAATCCTACGCAGAGGTACGTTCTAAAGAGGCTTGATCGATTCCGAACCGATTTTGCCCAGGCTACCGCGACACGCGACGCGTACCCTGGTCGGCGGTCGATATGGGCGCAAAATCCATTATGAAAAGGAAATGTTGCATGTCGCGGGAGGTATGACCGAGACGTGCGGAACACCTAGTGGATTTTGTCATACGCGCGGCGCGCGACGTGCTTGCTGTTCGGACGCGTATTCCGCTACCCAGCAGAAAAAGGGGATACGCGTCGAGTGTCGCGGGACTGACACGAACCATCGAAAACCATTAAATCTATAGTATACCTATTTCACGCTTCCTTTTTCAATCGAAACCACATCACCCCAGCACACGTTTCGACCTCGCGTTCATTTTTGCCAAAAGTACGATCGCTGGGGGTTTTTGAGGGCCAAATCAAACACAGTTCCAATTACGTGTCGCCCTATCCCCTCCAATGGATTTTGACGGTCATCTCTTTTTGGTTGCCCAGGCTCTCGGGTTCGACACCTCTCACCCTCGCTTCACCCCCAAACTACCCAAAAGCCGCGCCCAATTAAAATTCGAAAATTCGGGCGGCTGTGGCTCGCCCCGGTAGCTCGATGGCCATCGTTTTGAAGGGGGAATGGAAGGTGCGAAATGTGGCACCTGAGCGAGGATGTTTATGTAAAAATTTATCGTTTTATCTGAAAAAGAGACGTTTTTTGGTGACCAGCGAATTTCCGTACGAGACCAAGCACGGCCAGTGCAGAATTTTTCGCCCATTTGGAACCTGCTTTCAGAATGTGCGAAGATCAGTTTCAAAACGGAAAAAAGGGCAAAAATTTGAACTATTTTGAGCCTCTTTTCGCACTTAAAAGTTTCACAACTTTTCGAATCTGATTGTTTCCTAGATTTTAAAGGCCACGGCCACTCCCCCGCAAATGCTTAAGAACCGAATTGGGCGGTTGAAATCCGTTAGCTGCAAATTTCTGCCGTATAGCGGCACTCCGTTGTTTTTCTTGTTTTATTTGGCGGTCAGGGTTTCGGTTTGAAACCAATTTATTCAATCATGACGGAAAATAAACTTGTTGGTCGCCCTATCGTTATCATGATCGGTGAGCCGTACCCTCGCTGGAATCGAAATTCGGGCCACGGAGCCACGGAAGCATTTACGCAGCGAGACGATGAGCACTTCGCCGTCACTTCGTCGGATACGGTAGTAGTTAATGGCCCATTTAGCAGCGAAATGGTTTGGGTATCGCTGGAAGAATTGTTCGTGTACCCCGCCAGCCAGTCGAGTGGATGATTCGGCTTCGATTGTCTGGATTTTTCGCTGGCCTCTCAGCCATTCTTCGACCACAATGTGGGCGTAGACATCTACTTCACCGGCATATGCAAGCCAGATGCGGGGTATATTTAAGGACAGATAGTCCGATAACGGAGCACGGCCAGCGATAATCCATAGAGAGTCTGTCGATTTGTTCAGCCACTCGATCAAATCTCGATCAGCCGGCATCTCGTTTATCAAGACGTTTTGGTATTTCTTGGCGGGCTGGTGACGCCTGAGAATTGAAACATCTTTTCGTTCGAAGAGCTGCAACGATTCGCAGCGAATGTTGATGTTGTCTGGAATATCGCTATGGTAAAGCACTAGCTTCGAAACGAGCGAATTATCAAAAATCAGCTTCAAGGTTTTCAAGCTGTATAGTGGACGGCTGCCTACCCATGTAAAAGGCGACTGAAAGTCGTTGAGTCCTTGCCATGTGTTGAGTGTGACATGCCAATATTTGTCACCACAACTCTTCGCCACCTCCATCATCTTCTTGCTAGTAATGGCCGTCTTGAAAAAGCTATGCATGTCCATATTCCGAAGAATGTTGTGTTGTACGACGAAAGGGAAGGCGCAGAAGTCGATCGACATCTGGAATTCAGAATTGTTACAGCATTAACGATGATGACAATGATTGTTGGCGGGAAAGGAAAACCTAGAGAGAGAGAGAGAGCGAGAGAGGCAGAGAGAGAAAAAGAGAGAGAAAGAGAGAGAGCAAAAGAGAGAGAGCGAGAGAGAGAGAGAGCGAGAGAGAGTGGTAGGGATCGATAAAACTAGCCAAAAAGCATAACCAGATAGAAATTTCAAGCGTTTCCGTGTAAATACCGCATGTGATTAGAAAATACGGGAATCCGCTGGGCACGACACTGGAAATCAAGCGATCGAATCTATCTCATTAAAAGCACATCTGGTCCAGGGCCATTGTCTATTTCGAATCTCTGGGAGAATTACGAATCAACAAGATGGGGCCTCGAAATTCAAATTAGCGGTTGTTGCTGGAGACACATCTGCGAATCGTATTGGATTCGGTGGTCATAGGCATCGATCGCCCAAGGAAGCTGGGGAGTAAATCCCTTATAAAATGCGCTTCTAGTTTAGACTATGCCAAAAGTCTGTCTGAAGTCGGAAAAAACGTGGGATACCAAAACAATACAGGGTGCGTCAAAAAAAAGCCAAGTTTGCACCAAAATATCTCGCTTATCTTTGAGAATCGAAGGTGCGTTACCATGCCAGAATGCTTAAATATGCTGGGTTTGAAGATTTAACACAACTTGATTTTTTCGATTTTTGGCGACGTACCCATACAAATGACACCCGAAAACTGTGCGTTCCGGAAAACTTCGTTTGCATTTTTTTGGATTGCTGGTGGTCGAACATTTCCAATTTTTGCAGTGTAGGTACCTAAGGACTGCCCCTACGCACATCCGGAATTTTGGAATTTTCGAAGGTCTGGTTGGCAAGTTATAGCATGCTCAAATTTGATATGGAGGAATTTCGTAAATTTCGAATATTACAAAAACCTATGGCGGAAACCTCAAAATAAGCTGTTTTAGCATGTCTATAGGCTCGATACAATCCCGCAAAAATATCAAAAAAAAAATTTCAGATCCGCGGATTTTTGGGTTTTTCGACGACCCCCTGGTCATGGATTCTTTCGAGGTCACGAAACTGAACTTTGGAAAAATATTTCTAAAATTGCAGATAGAACTTCGGTGTTTGCTTTGCTTCGTTGTGTAGGACTGGGGTCCATCTATCATGTACAGAATTTCTAGCTACCGTACCCCTTTGGAAGGTTGCCTTTTAGCGCCTCCAAAACGGTTGATTCGTGCTATTTCGCAGAACTTAGTGCCAGTCTATAAAATTCATTTGCGCGGTTAGAATTATTGTCGTAATTTTATTAAATACTATTTAATGGGCGCATTCCAAGAATATATTTACAAATTTATTGGGCCATACAATTTGTCAAAAGAAATTCATGAAAAGTCCAAATATACCCGAATTCGAGGCGACGTAAAAAAATTCTCGAAGCTTTAGTAGCCCGGACTTTTCTGGCATAGACCAAGCTTGGTTAGTTAACTAAAACCCATGGAAACACAAAATCTTTTCATGGCAAACGAATTTAGAAGAGCGCCCCAAAGTCGGCTTTTCGAAAACGTGATTTTCGGGTTTTAAATCAAAATTAGCCATTACAGGGTGTGCAAAAAAAAAAGACCACAGTTTGGGTCGAAATAACTCGCGAACGGTAGAGAATCGAAGGTACGTTACCATGCCAGAATGCTTAAATATGCTGGGTATGAAGATTTAACACAACTTGATTTTTTCGATTTTTGGCGACGTATCAATACAAATGACATCCGAAAA